GGTCTGTTGGAGGAAGCCGGAGTACCCGGAGAAAACCCACACATGCACGGAGAGAACATGCAAACTCTACCCAGAAAGGTCCCCGGACCGGGATTTGAACCAGTGACCTTCTTGCTGAGAAGCATCAGATCTACCAACTGAGCCACCGTGCCGCCCTGGTTATTTGATGTTATTTATTATTTTTTTAATGTCCTAAAGGAAAATAAATTTGTAAAATAAATTTGAAACTGAGTTTTTGACAAAATCGGTAAAAATCCGTGAGATTGCTCTGCAACATGAGCGAGAATCCATGTAAACTATGGACAATCCATACAACTTGACATGCATGGTTTTTTTCTATATTTCAACTAGATTCTTTTGGAGAAAAAAAATGTCAAAACTTCGCCTAGCTTCCAGTACTGCAATATATCACTATATATCATATTGTGACCCCTGTGTCGTGATATGTATCATATTAACAAATTCTTGCCAATACACAGATCTATGGGACATGTACATCTTCCAGACTAGAGGCTGTCCTCACAAACAGAGTAACTGCAAAAGGGAGTATAGTGTAAGAGACCACCAAGACACTTGTGACCACTCTGAAGGAGTTACAAGCTTTAGCAGGTCAAATCTTAGATCAGCCTAAGCTTTGTGGGAAAGCAGCACAGTGAAAGCCAACTGGTATTAAATCTAGACTATAGTTTACCAACTGACATGCTGAAGATCCCATTACACCTGATGAAGCTTGTAATGATCTGTAACAGCAAGAAAAGGGCAAAACATCCAAGGGGCTAAAAATATTTTCATGGGCATCATAAATACCCCATTTTTCAAAGTGTTAACAACAGAAGATTTGCCAGTTACGTAACCCAAACCAGGTTTCTACTTGAATTAAAAAAGGAATATTAAGACTCCATGCACATGTGACTGCTTCTTCAAGACACAGAACACATAATGAGAAAACAGAAAAATGATCCCTGAATCACACTGGCCACCCTCTTTCTTCTGTAATGGACAGAACCCCTGGGGGATTTTGTGCTACAGGAAATCTTAGATATCACTACAAGCCGAAGAGCAAAACAACATCCCTTCCAGACTTGAGTGCTTTTCTGAAGGAGGGAAGAAAAATAAATACAGCATCTCCAGTGTGCCACATCCCATGATTAATATTATCTCCATTCCTTATTCTGTCTCCACAATGATTTCCTCTCTGTACTCTGTGTTGGTCTCCCTCCCCTCCTCTGTTTTGTTCTCAGTCTGTTCTGTCTGGGCCCACTTGGCCTGGGATCATATCAGTTAGCATAGGTCCTGGCGGGTCAGGCCCTCGCCCCTGAACACAGACTGGCTGGCTGGCCTCATATCTCCACTCAGGACTGTGTGTTCCCTTCTCCTCCTCTGCTTACTGCTGCGCTGTCAGGGCTCAGCCAGACAGACAAGAATGCAGAGCGAATATGAACTTGGAATGCGCAAATACTGCAAGGTAATATTTCAAAATACTTCCATCGACGTACTAGTTTCTGATAAAATGTCGAGTCTAAATCATTTGGTTTAAAATGCAGCACTTTTGGCAAAAGAAATGTTGGAAAAACGTGAAATGCTGCTGTATTATCAAAAAAAAAGGCATATCAGAAAGGTTCAGCTTCTGGAGAAGGTTGTTTTTTTTGTTTGTTTGAGTGGTTAAATGTAACAAGAAGGAGTCAGCTTCTAGCCAATAAAACATAAAATGAATAAAATTTCACAGACTTTCGATCTGAGATGAGTCATATCAGTTGAGAAAGAATTCACTTAAAAACACAAGGACACCTTCTTAAATACAACTTTCTCAGGCTTTCTGGTAAAAAATAACAGACTTGTCGATGTGTGGGAAAGAAGCTATCAGACTTATGAAGAAACTAACAGCTTATTATGCACCCCACCCCCATCCTCTCACAAAGTGCAGAAGAGTCTATACACTGTCACTGCTTAACAAAATAACAAAAGCTAATTTCTACTGAACAGGCTAAACAACACACACACAACTCAACCTCACACACTCTAAAACAACACTGAGGGGCAGTCAGATGAGTGGTGAGGCAACAAGGGTGATCTCCAGGATATTTACACCTTCTTTTAGCCTGTTCCCAAAATTTGCATGTCTGCAACATTGTCCAAATGTTTTTAATACTTTCCAGGGAACTGTTCCTCTGTAGTCTCGTGTCTATTATGTTCCTGTCACTTGAAACAACATGGAACTCTTGTCAGTCGAGTCTAAACAAAATGAGTTATTTAACAGCTGTCAGCTGCTCACATTAAATGGCTTGCAGGGAGAAAAATGAGGCTGTGCACTGGCTAAGAATAAAAATACATTATTTGAATGTCAATATGTTTTGGGGTTTTCAGAAACATCTCTGTCCAGACTGAGTTTTAATCAATCCAAGCGAAATAACTACCTTCCTGCTTACCTTTTAACTTTCAATAGACAAGCATGGTTTATGACATAAAAAAGCAACATTCATTTTACCACTTTTGCTTTTTAACTCTTTTCATATCAAAGCTCAATAATCTATGTAACTGTAAGAAGTTTTTTCTGATTAAATTATTTTAAACTATATATATTATTGCCCCAGATGTGGTTGGTTAACAAATTGAAGTAAGTGCACATGTTAAGCTTAAGATATTAGTACAAATTAATGAGGGGGGGGGGGGATTATTTATTTTCCAGGCACATAGTTCAGTTCTAAACCACTATTAAATAACTTAACTTCAGTTGTTATGAAAATGCTGTATATATAAAAAAAAATTTTGAATTTATCTAAACACTTTGAAATTAGTCTCTGTTTCTTTAAGAACCTCCTACCATTTCTGACACTCCCAATTCATTACCGGGGAAGAGGTGCTCTGTGTGGCAGGGGCTTAGGCGGTGCTTTGTACCAGCAAGCTTTATGCAGCTCCACATGGCTACTACAGGAGATTCAAGGATTTCTCAAACATGCATAAATGAGTCAAGGCAACACTCTGCATATGTTTTTAATGAGGGAATGAAATTATAATGATGTATAGCTAAAAAAAATAAATCAATTTTGCATAACACCCTCCCTTTAATGAAAACATACGATCTTCATTCTAAACACATAACTACCTTCATTTACACTTGATTGTTTTTCCATTACCTAATAAAATCATAACAGCAATGTTTTATTAGGAAAAGAAAGAAGAACAGAATGGAGCAATTTTACTACCGAATAACAAATCAAGCTCAACAACATTCTTAATCTCCACTTTTTTTCTTATTAAAACAAGGACCCAAGATTTATACAACTTTCTTTTGTTTTAAGGCACGACTGATTGAAACACAAATACAGCTTTTTCAGAGTAATTATCGACTCATTGGTGATCCCACATAGTGTTAATTTAGCGTATGGATTTTTACATCAGGGGCTGAATAGCAGGATGAGCTCATAAGATGAAGGGACAAGAATGGACGAAGACAGCTGTTTGTCTGAGTGATGGTACCATCAGACGGCACGAACGTCTCCCAGAGGAGACATTGCCCAGATATTTCTTTTAGCTCCACATCACCCAGTGGAACGGGAAAGCTTTCAGATGGTTGGAGAGTCAATGTAAAACTCAGTGACACTAGTGCACTAACTTGCTGCGTGCACACTTGCAGACTTACACACTGTTATTGTGGGGGGAAAAAAGGCAAAAATCTAAACGGTCGATTAGAAACTCACATATATCACATTCGTGTGCATTCAAGTTGACTGTATGGGTGTGTTACAGGTGCAGGTGAAGGACATGGCAGCGGTATACATGGCTCCATGTGCAGTTCCACATCTTTGCGGTCGATTGCAACATTAGTGCTTGGAGGTGCTGACAGCGAACGCACACAGACTTATGGCAACGCACAATCCCTCTTCCACATCAGCTAGCAAGACAAATGCCTTGCAGCCAGCCGCCAAGTACAGAACATGAAACATGATGAAACATGCAATTAAAAGCCTCTGTGCTGGTTGGGGAGTGGTGTGTGGACACCCCTGGTTACATATTCCCTCACTGATTAATGGAGGAGCTTTGGGAGGGGAGGGGTTAGCGAACCCGCCAGGAGTAAAGCATAACGAGGCGAAGTGGCAGATTTATGTCCCCACCCACCCCCTTTCCCCCTGAATCCTATGTGTCCATGACAAAGTGGCCCCAAGCTCCCCCATCGCATCTCCTTGAAATGTCATTACATGTTGGCGTGTTGCAGGCCAGCAGAGATGGAATGAAGATAAGCATTAATGTTAATGAAAATCAGGCTCATGGCCTTTTGTTTTCAGTCACAGGAGCTCTTTTGATCTGTTCCTTGACCTGATCCATATTTCCAATCAGTACCTTTCGGTCCAGGCAAACTGAATCTTTTTTTTCCCAACTTAAGCCAGTTTCTCACAAGGCTTCAACTGTTGAAGACTAGTTGGCAAATGATATTTGAAAGCAATTCAAAACAGTTTCAAAGTTGCTGTGGGTGTCTTAAACCCATCTTGAATGTCTTTATTTAGTTTTCGTAAAATCTGGAGCACTGAAGTTGTAGTTCGTCACCTAATGACAGAAAATGTCTAATACAACAGTCAGTCTAACCAGTCTGTTCAAGTCCAAAAAGGGGTGCAAACCTGCACGTTACAAAGCTGGCTGAGGTGGGTACAATGTTTAGAGAGGATGGACAACAAAATAATGTGCATGGCCTCAATAGTTTTGCAAGATGTGCAAACAAAAACAGTTTTTTTTAATTGGCCATGCAAACATGCCCAAATGGTTTGCTGTTTGCAAACACTTTGAGTCTATTTCCTCACAAGCTTTGAGTCACCAACTTATCTCCAACAGTCACAGCCCAGTGAGACAGTGGCTTTACCCTGCAAACATCCAACATCTTGAACTTCAAAGTCTTTGACATTTCCTTTATACACATCTACTGATTCATTGGAAAGCCTTTGCTTTCACGATTACTCATCTCTGCAGCATCCCATATTATCTGGAGTCCTACTGTGTGTGCAAATTACCTTTAGCCTGTCCTTTGGCAGAGCCTGGGCTCCCTTCATGATGACCTCTTGAACCCTTTCAACAGAGAGGTCACTTCCAGCCTGCTCCAGACGCTGACTGAAAAATCCAATCACCTAAGGTTCACGAAAACAGGAAACAGACATTTAGAGACTTGCAAAACATACAGTTTATGCTTTGCTTTTGCCAGTGAAAACCACAAGACAAAGAAATTTAAAGTTACATTATGAAAATCCTTTTCAAAATAGATTTTAAAGTTTTGAGCATCTAAACATACAATACAGTTTTTTCAGGTTTTCTTAACAGTTTGAACAAGGGAATTTATCAGTGTTCATGTTATTTATTAAACAAAACACTGTGGAGTGAGTCTTACCCTGTGGGTTTCCTTGTCAATAATAAGTGCACGACCTTAGCATATCCTTTAATATCCACTGAACCAAAGGAACCAACACAATCAAGCTAAATGTTCTTTATTGTGTTTACTTGAATGAGAAGCCTTTAGGACTCATTCATCACACCACCTGGGCAGCAACCTATAAATTGTCACTGACATGATCTCATTTAGTGTTGCAGCACTACATCACTACTTGATGTAGAGCCTACTCTAGTATGAATAGTGCACTTTGTGTGTGTCCAACAGCTTCTGTGTGGGCACGTTTGAATGAAGCCGTGACAAACGTGAACCAAACAATGACCCACGCCTAAATGACAAAATCTTGTTGCAAAAGCTTGTTGCAGTAGCAAGTCAAAGAAAAAGGGCTTAATATGAGGAAAGTAGAAATGTTTTTTTTTTGTTAAATCAAGATCCAGAAACATTTAGTTTAAGGTCCAGTTTACACAGCACAGATTTTGAGGTAAACCATATAATTTCTGCTACAGTTCAGCAGTTTGTGTTCATGACAATCATACTAGTTTCTGAAATCTAAGCTTTTGAATCCAGGTCACAGAATGGAGGTTTCTGGAAAGCTGCTGCAGAGGTGTGAAATTGCACATGCACATGCGCACTACGGACGGCTGCGGTCAATAGTTCTTCTGTGCTTGTAGATAAACAACAGCAACAGCGGGGGATAGCAAAGTGCTGTTTGAGCTTCTCGCCCTTATTCAACATGTAGGAGCAACCCAACCTCATCCTTGGTCCGAACCAACATTCATATATTCACCATTTAGGATGTAATGGATTTCATGAGCAAGACAGAACTGTCTGCATGCGTGCAAGTTTTGTTGAAAAACAAAAATCACAACTCCAGCAAGTGACCTGGCATCAGTGTTGGCAGATACACAACATTTATCAGTTTTGTAAGATGGTTCTAGGGTCAAGCTGGGCTCATATTCTGTGCACATATTTGTTTGCCAATCACAACATACAACTCATCTAACAACATCCCTCTTCCCAGAAAGCACACCCGCTCTCAGCATTCGCAACAGCTTGGGTCATAATGCAATCATTTTAAATTGACAGCTATTTTGTCATTTCCTTTTTGGCAACCCTGCCTGGCATGGAAACTACATCAGTGGAGCACAGCATTTTGCTTTTAAACAGGTTCTTGTTGACCTGCCACAATTAAAAACACTAAAAAAAAAGCTAACATTTCCAGAAACTGTTGTGATGTAAAAAGGGCCTAAATCACTGTGTTGCAACAATATGTCAGCAGCATTTGCAATTAAGTGTCTGAAATGTTTCAAAATATTTGCAAAGGTTCCAGATTTCTCCATGCATCTTGCAGGGCATCATCTTTAACGAAAATTTGGACTGAACTTTCACTCACAGATTTGTCAGGTGTCTGGGACTTTTTCTTAAAGAGTCCAAGGCATGTGAGACAACTTTGGTGACTTATGAAACCAAAAAAAGGATGATTGGAGAGAAAAAAGTAAATAAAGGGCAATCAAACTGGAAGACACTCTGACTGATACATCACACAGTCAGGAATGTTGAGAAATTGTTCATATTTTGCAGTTATATACATACAAATGTTTTATTAAAGGGGACATATACAAAATCAACTTGCATTTTGTTGTTTAATTAAAAGTCTCTGCTTGGGTCATATTTTTTAACAAGTTAAGTTTTCTCTATTTTCTCTGACTATATTGGATTTAAAGAGACAGCGTCAAAGTTAGTTGATCTGAGTCACACCTCAGAAAGGGGGTTAAAGAGGGGCTTATGTAGTTACAATAAAGAGAAGTTCAGACCAAAGCATTGCAGTTGCACTTTATATGGACCCCACCTGAATGATTTAAATGTGAAAAGAGAGGGATGTCAAAACATACGTCCACTTCAATTACAAATCTATTGTGATTCCAAAAGAAAATTTGCTCATTTTAGTGCAACAAGTTGCCAATAGTTGCAGCCCAGTGAGAGACAAATTTCAACTTGGACTGAAATAAGAAAAAAATATATTAAAAAATTTTAGCAGCTGAAGCTTCTTTTTGAAGTTAAGTCATTATATATTGACTATAATTTTTTTAGTTAGAATAGAGTATTTGAGTAAAATTGTGTGTTTAGAAAAAAGTGTTTCTGTAAATGCACATATAAAGTAACTGATTAAAAAAAGATTTTGGTCCTAAAAATCTGTCCTGCTTCTCTTAATAAAACTCGCATGTGGTTCATTGATCTCAGCGATTTTTTTTGTCAACTCCCAGTCCAATAATGAAGCTTTTTGACTGTTTGAAATCATAACATCAATAGTCCAGCCACACCCAATGTAATGACAATGAACACAAAGATCTAATAAATAAATGACAAAGACCCATGAGCTCATCTATAAGAGTTGAACTGTATAAACCATGAAACTAATTATTATTCCAAGCTGCTAACATTTGGAGTCAAAGAAATCACCATTAAATCACTGCAGCTAATGTTTTGATGTGTTGGATTTCAGACAACATTTTGATGTTTCTAACAAACGACAAATAAACTAACACAAATGTTGCCATGACTTCTAGCAACAACACATGCCACTATGTGACAAATAAGAGGGTAAAAGGTTAAAAGCAATGCTGCTCTTAGTCAAAGGGAATAAATTACAAATTCAGTTCAGGATTTGAGCTTTTTTTTAATCACTAAAAAAATGATGCCCTCTGGGTATATTCTCAAACAAGAAATAAAGGAAAACACGTTTTGTAGTTCCAAAGCTGTGCAACATTCTTCCCTGAAGAAATGTTGGTTGTTGGAAAATTAAAAACTTCGATGTATAACTAATTGTTTTCAGTGCTCGGTTTTGTCAAACTAACAGCAAAAAAAAAAGCCTCTCCAGGCAGTGTTTTCTTTGCTCACACTCAACAGTTGCTTTAGAAAATTCAAACACACTGCTGAGCACATCGACAGCATGGGTGTAGTCTGTGTCTACGTCTGCCTAAAACTAATCTTTTCATTAACTCTGAAGGCCTCTCATACGGGGTTAATTTAAAATAGCAGCGAAGCAGCCTCTCATCCTGGATCTCATGCTCACACGCATTGACTTGCAAGCTCAGGAAAAGCTTCAGAGAATAGCCTCAGGGAGGTTGTCTTTTTCAAGGGTTTCTAGCTAGCACGCCTACCTCATACTTGTGGATAACAAGCAAACCCCATGGCGGTGCATCCAGTGCTACTTTTTATTCCTTATCTGCATACAGGTCTTAAAGAGACACCATGCTTTTAAATTAGTCTTTTTTACATTTAAATCATTTATATAATCGTTTGAAACCGCAATGCTTTGGTCTGAATATGTTCTTATTGTAACACCACAAACTTCTATTTCACCCCTTTCTGAGGTGTCTTTCAAATGAACTCATTTCAGTGCTGTCTCTTTAAATCCACACAAGGCTCTTCACATCCCGCCCCCTCCAGCTTCCAGAGCGGTCCATTCTAGTTTGATAGAGGTGTTTACGACTGTATAGTGGCAAAGAAACTTTTTATTTACAAATTAATTAAAAGATGTCAACAACAGAAAACTTGTACATGCAGCCATACATGTTGGAGCCAGAGTCTGACCCAGAGCCAGAGGAGAATAAAGACAACAAAATTGTAGCTGGTAAGTCCAGAACTTATTTTAAAGTTCTGTCACAAAATCTGAGATGTAATAGATCAGAAAGCATCACAGAAAATAGAGAAAACTGAATGGGTTGAAAAATATGACCCTAAAATAGGGCTGGACGATATAGCTAAAATTTATATTGCCATATTATTCCTAATTTCAGTCAATACCATATAATTTGGATATACAGGTGCTGGTCATAAAATTAGAATATCATGAAAAAGTAGATTTATTTCAGTAATTCCATTTAAAAAGTGAAACTTGTATATTATATTCATACATTACATACAAARTCATATATTTCAAATGTTTATTTCATTTAATTTTGATGATTACAAATGACAACAAATGAAAATCTCAAATTCAGCATATCAGAAAATTAGAATATTACTGAAGACCAATAAAAACAAAGGATTTATAGAAATGTTGGCCAGCTGAAAAGTATGAACATGAAAAGTATGAGCATGTACAGCACTCAGTATTTAGTTGGGGCTCCTTTGGCCTGTATTACTGCAGCAATGCGGCGTGGCATGGAGTCGATCAGTCTGTGGCACTGCTCAGGTGTTATGATAGCCCAGGTTGCTCTAATAGTGGCTTTTAGCTCTTCTGAATTGTTGGGTCTGGTGTATTGCATCTTCTTCTTCACAATACCCCATAGATTTTCTATGGGGTTAAGGTCAGGAGAGTTTGCTGGCCAATTAAGAACAGGGATACCATGGTCCTTCAACCAGGTACTGGTAGCTTTGGCACTGTGTGCAGGTGCCAAGTCCTGTTGGAAAATGAAATCTGCATCTCCAAAAAGTTGGTCAGCAGCAGGAAGCATGAAGTGCTCTAAAACTTCCTGGTATGTGGCTGCGTTGACCCTGGACCTCAGAAAACACAATGGACCAACACCAGCAGATGACATGGCACCCCAAACCATCACTGACTGTGGAAACTTTACACTGGACTTCAAGCAACGTGGATGAAGTGCCTCTCTTCTTTTCCTCCAGACTCTGGGACDTTGATTTCCAAAGGAAATGCAAAATTTACTTTCATCAGAGAACATGACTTTGGACCACTCACCAGCAGTCCAGTCCTGTTTCTCTGTAGCCCAGGCAAGACGCTTCTGACGCTGTCTGTGGTTCAAGAGTGACTTGACACAAGGAATGCGACAGCAGAAACCCATGTCTTTCATACGTCTGTGTGTGGTGGTTCTTGAAGCACTCACTCCAGCTGCAGTCCACTCTTTGTGAATCTCCCCCACATTTTTGAATGGGTTTTGTTTCACAATCCTCTCCAGGGTGCGGTTATCTCTCTTGCTTGTACATTTTTTTCGATCACATCTTTTCCTTCCCTTCGCCTCTCTATTAATGTGCTTGGACACAGAGCTCTGTGAACAGCCAGCCTCTTTAGCGATGACCTTTTGTGTCTTGCCCTCCTTGTGCAAGGTGTCGATGGTCGTCTTTTGGACAAATGTCAAGTCAGCAGTCTTCCCCATGATTGTGTAGCCTATAGAACTAGACTGAAAGACCATTTAAAGGCCTTTGCAGGTGGTTTGAGTTAATTAGCTGATTAGAGTGTGGTACCAGGTGCCATCCATTTTGAACCTTTTCACAAGATTCTAATTTTCTGATATGCTGAATTTGAGATTTTCATTTGTTGTCATTTGTAATCATCAAAATTAAACGAAATAAACATTTGAAATATATGAGTTTGTATGTAATGTATGAATATAATATACAAGTTTCACTTTTTAAATGGAATTACTGAAATAAATCTACTTTTTCATGATATTCTAATTTTATGACCAGCACCTGTAGATACGAATAATAAAAATGTTAGAAAACTGCCAAGAACATCAATATTTACTGTACCTACAAACCTGATATCATTTTACGATATCTTTAAGTCAAAATAGGACTAGTCAGAACAAAAAGTGAGATCTCAAATTTACTGTATGACTAGTCAAAATTTCATCGTTGATATCTAAAATATTACATATTCAGATAGTCAGTAATTTATTGTAGATATTCTGAATTACAGCCTCTATACCAGTGTTTTTCAACCCTGGTTCTCAAGCCACACTGTCCTGCATGTTTTATGTTTCCCTGCTTCAACACAGCTGATTTCGATTACTGATTGATTACTGATACTGCTTTTGTTGAACTGCAATCATCTGAATCAGGTGTGTTAAAGTAGGGAAACTTCTAAAACATACAGGGCAGGTGTGCCTTGAGGACCAGGGTTGGGAAACAATCAAAGTCAGAATGTAATTACAAATATTATAGATATTCATATAAATATAATTAAATATTTTACCTAGTCAAAATATATTTAGAGATATCTTTATTAACTAATATGTCTGGTCATAAACCAATTTCAGATATTTGGAATGCAAATGTGGTGAAGCCAATTTTATGACACAACAAACTTCCATATCCGTCTGTGTTTGCTGTCGGCTTCACTTGCTCAACACGGCTGTTGGCAGGGAGATGTTAAAGTTTAGTAAGAAAGCTTAAACTTTTAGGGTGCTTCCTTTTCATACACTCAGAATGTCCTACCAAGGAGAATTTTATCAGACAGTAAAACAGATTTGATGTGTTCTCGCTGCAATACGGCACCAGACTTTCTGGTACATTTTACAGCAGACTAAAGGCTGAGGTTTATCAGACCTTTGATACTTGAACCACTTCCACACCACTGAATTACGGTAGTCTTTTCTGTCTCAACTATTTCTTTTGCCTTTTTTCCCCCAACTGTGAGCACTCTTTCACTCAACGCTGTTGAGCTCATTTTGGTGCTGATATCCATTGTGTTCTAGGTAGTGTAGTGTAAACAGAGTGGTCGTGCTGTGCACTACCATTGAGCCTGTGGTGTGCGTCATCATGCACTGACATAATGGATATCTATCATATTGCGACATGTATTGATATTGAATTACTGTCCAGCACTAACCAAAATAATATATAAAAGATTTCTGCACAGCCCAGGAGAAACTAAATTTACATTTTTCCTAGAGACTCAAGTGCACAAAAAAATGCATTTAACGGCTAAAAAAGTGGATTTTGCAAGATATGTCCCCTTTAAATAACATTCCTTAGCTCTCACTCCCCAACGAACATACACTTAATAATTCTGAGACAAAATGTCTTGACATAAGAAAACTGATTCATTGATACAACTTGCTTTCACAAAGCCCAACATGCTGCATGCTCCATGCTAACGATATATCTGCTTTAGTCCATTCAGGCCTTTTGAGCTTTATACCCAGCAGAAACTGATGACATTGAGGGAAAATCTATACAGCCTTAATCTATGCAATCATTTCACCCAATGTCAAGAAGAGAGACGCTTTGAGATTCAACATTTTTTGTTGCCTCTGATATTTCAGGTGACTGACCGTGTCAAGGTTCTGCATGATGTCCTGGAAGGACGGGTGCATCCGGAACTGCTCAAAGAGCTCCCGCTTGTAAAGCAGTGCGTACACCAGGTTGGGATTGTGGTGCAGAGAGTTGCACAGGCAGGAGTTGATGATTTCCAGCATCATGCGGATCACCTCCTCAATCACATTCAGGTCCTGGGCCTGGGGGAGAGGGAGGATGGAAAAGGTTAATTGGTTTCCCATTACACTGGCTTCACTTATTATTTTATCTTTAAATGATTGTCTCATGGTAGAGGGGATGGGGCAGTGGAAAAAAAAAGAAGGATGAAGATAAGGGAGTAGGCATGTTAGCTAAGAAGTGCTGTAAGTCTTAGGTAAGAATAGAGAGGTGAACTTATAAGCTGCAGGTCAGGTCTTGTCAAAGTATGTTTCCTGTCAGGTGAGTGACTGCTGCCACTAATGACAGGTGACAGTTGAGAAAAAGAAGCTGATGGGAACATGGGAGAAAAATGCATCAGGCTCGTCATAACTCACAAGACAAAGCAGAAACAGTATCAAAGTTTCTGACTCAGAAAGTACGTCAGAAAAAAAAATACACCTCAAGGCTGAAAGAGTCAGATATTTGATGGCAACAGTATGTTTTAGTTATGGGCTGATGTGTTAAGAAAGCATTTGACATCTTTAGAAAGTTCAACTGTACAAAAAAACAATTTAAAATAGAGTCAATAGGAGTTGTCTGAAGGACATTTTCTTTGAATACACTAAATAAATTATTTTGTTTTAAACAAGTCCATTCCTTCAAAAAAATGCTGAGCCTTTATTTGTTAATGGTAAGATTGGTAAGTAAATTCTCAGTTTAAACCTGAGGCCTTGTTGGTCATTTTGACCCAAAGTCAGCAGGAAGGTTAAAACATTGTGATATAAAAAGCATTATTTAGGAGTAAATAACTTTGTGGTCTTTGCCAATTTAGTAGCAAAGCTTAAAAATGCATGCACTTTTTCCACACATTTACAAAGTTTTCTCAGCATTTGGGGACACACATCACTGGTTTGCAAAGAATGAATTTAGTTCCACTTATAGGTAACTTTGAAGTTTATTTTGAAAAATGCTATCACTTGAGATGGGCTCGCTTTCAAAGACTGGCTCATTTATTTTTGTTAACAGATCTGTCAGCAAAGAGCGTCAGAGCGAAACTACATTTCTGCAGGTAAAACACACATGAAAGAGAACAAACGCTGCAGTTTTTTTTAAAATGTCAGTTTATTTTCTTTTAGGCATGGACTTTACCAATAAAAAAGTCTTCAATAGAGTTCTACCTGTCTTATATACAGTATATGTGTTGACAGATCAGCTGTGGTTTTAATTTCAACTAACAATTTTCAGTCAAACCGATATCCACACAAAATGTCTTCACATTTTTCAACATCTGACGTATCATCCTGAAAAATGACTTCGTCAGTTTGTAAAAAAAAAAAAAAAACAGAATACTTTTATCCTCAATATGATAGGTGGCACAAAATAACTAACAGGTAGATCTGATAAGCCCTGGGAAAATAACTATAAACAGGAATCTTTTCAATCTGCTATAAAAGGAGGACTCGTGACTGAGGGAAAACAAAAGTCTTGTCCTTTAGCTACTGTGTTCATAACAATGTGTCTGCAAGCCAGACAGACGCCACCATGACAAGATAAGTCTCGTCTGACGTTTTCATGGTGGCGCAAACAAGAAAAATGCAGAGACCATGGGAAAATGAATAATGTGGAAAAGAAAAAAAAAACAATAGATGAGTATGAATTAGCAAATACATCAGAAGAGGTAATTATTAGGTTCTAGTTGTCATTTAACATTAATGCCATTATTCATAAAAAACTAGGCAATGTAGTATTTAAACTAAAATACAACAAAAATACATTCATTTGCTTAAAGCAAAAAAAAAAAATACAAAAAAATGAACCTCACAAGTTTGTCAAAAACAATTTAAACAAAATGTACCACTAGCTGCTTAGAAGCTTAACACTGAGTACACTGTGTTGGTCTACATCTACACATGGTATCAGCTGTATCTTGGGGTGTTCAGAGTTAAAAAAAAACAGCTAATAAGATGCTAAGACGACAAAACACAGACTAAGAGATCACAGGAGTCAAGAACGCTTAAAGCAGCTTAAGTTAATGCAGTGGAGTTCTCATGAAATCAGTCTAATGGTCGAATAAACACAACAAACATTGTGTGACAGGTTTTGGGGCTGATCCTGGATCTGTTTGGTTAGGAGGAGGTAAACAACTAAAGTGCATGTCTTTAAGTGGTTAAAGGTATTAATGTATGTAACTAAGATTAAGAATCAAGTGTCTCGGTAAGCATGGTGGTGTTTTAAGGTAAAACTGGAGCTGCTACAGTGGCTTTAAAACTGAGATCTACCCAAGATGGAGGAGAAACAGATAACTTCTGAACTTAAATAAAAAATAGTTCTGAAATTAGACATAATGCACCAAGTACTTAGAAAATAATGCACCAGTAACGTAGCAACATCAGACCTGCATACAATGTTCATGTCAGCCAGTGTAAATTTTAATCATGTTGTATTTATAGGATGTCTCAACTTAGTATTCACCACCTCTGGGTTTACATACGACTACATTTAAATTAGAGTAACTGTATCCTTTTGGAACAACTGTAATTCCTCTGAAAGCTATAACAAAACAAAACAAAACAAAACAAAAAGGCTAAACAAGCTGAGTGTGGTTGAATGAAACATTGCTTCCTCTGTACTAGTATGTGGCACATTTTAAAATATAACTTGTAATTAGGGACACATTTTCATGAAAATCGTTGTTGTGACGATGAGTTGTTTTGACTGAGACTTTCACGAACATTCAAAACAGGAACCGGGCAGGACTGCTACTACAGGCTGATTGAGACCAGAGATTCCACCTCCAATCTGGGCTATCCATCTGTAACAGAGCAGCATGTGGTAGCGTTTTATTTTCCATCTTCTGTGGCCTGTTTGGAAACCAGTCCTTATCTTATAAATAACTTTGCTTGCAATGCCGCTTGTTTTCCTTTTTTGTCCTTTTGAGCTCACGCACAAGGAGACAAACTTTTCAATCCTTCAAAAAGCTAGTGAATGAGTTGTTGTACATAAATGTAATATTTTATGCATAAACGATTTGAGCTTGCAACACCGAATACAGTAATTTCTTGCATTGATTTTTGTCAAGTTCATGGAGGTTTTAGATACAGACATGAGGAGGCAGGGGGAAGGAAGGAGAGCCAGTAATAATGAGGACTGATTGTATGTCTGGAGGCTCCAGAGGAGGCTCTCCCTCCGTGACTCCACTGCCTAGCTAGACCTGCTTTCCTCTGTTCTGCTGTGGCAGGCCATAATTAGACAGAAAGCAGGGACGCATATGGGAGACAACTGAGTGGGAGGAAGAGGAGGCAGAAGAAATGAAGACAGCGACAAAAATGGGAACACACAAAATGAGAGGAGAGGAGGGGGAGTTGATGGAGACCGTGAACACTGTGAGGAGACAGAAGCAGGAGAGGAAGGCAGAGTAGGAGTGAGGGATGCCTTGTGTGTTTGTTCTCTAGCTCAGCACCCAGCTTAATGAGATTAGTCTGGCAGGGGAAAAAAAGTGCCACACTGGGGAATTCAGGTCACATGAAAATAGGCTAGCTAGACGTCTGCCTGGCCCTGCGTGTGTGTTTGTCAAGAGGATGAGATTAAGAGGTCTGTGGTCTACTTGAAACCCAGACAGGATTTAAACATACTGGCTGTTCCTGCTTCTCTTCATCTACTTTCAAAACTGTTGTTCTGCACTTGTTTTTCCCTAAAAGGTAACCTTGAACTTTTAGTAAACACCTGACGTCTCTGGTTGACTAAACAACACCACCACAGCTGCTATCTATTAGTCCTCTGTCCACCTTCACCACCCTTTTGACAATTTTCTTTATTTTTCCTGCTCTTTCTCCCACAAATTTTCCCACCTGGCTGCATTGTCATTTTGTCACATTTACCCCCAGCCCAAAAAAAAAATAAAAAAATAAAAATAATACTGTCCTCAGAAATAAGAAGCATTTTTAATCTCAACGGTCCGATACTGTTTTGCTTGTTTTGTCGTTTAAAACAGATTTAACCAGAAAAGTGTGTGCGCTTTTCTCTGATTCTGCTGTTAATACTCCAACAAGCTAGGCCAGAATGTGTAAACCCTGCAGGTGCATTTGACCTTTGCTTACTGTCTGGTGGCTTTTATCACATAGTCTGCAGATGCAATCAATGTTTGTGTTTTCTACCATGACCCTGCATGACTATATGCAAATGTTTGTGTGTGTGTGTGGACAGAGTGTTTACAGACAGACGTCTAAATCCTGGTAAAGTAGGAGCTGGCATCATTAAACCAATAGCTTAGCGATTCCCTGGCTGGCCATGCTCATCACAAGCTGTTGCAGGGCAGAAAAACCAGACATATTAAGAAAGAGCCTTGATAAAGATAAATATAGAAAACAAGAAGGAGCAATTCCTTAAGAGGAAGATATGATAAAAATGTGTATAAATGTTAATTGTTCTTTTGAAAAAGAACAGATTAAGTTATTGTAAGCAAGATAGTCACAAGACAAATGCTGAGAGGTGGAGGAAAAAAGACAAAGAGAAAAAAAACCTGCCACATAGACAGACAGAAAGGGTCAGACTGGCTGAGTAGCTGCTGCCTGCCCAGTCAGTCTTTTGAAAGTTTTTTTTTTTTTAAATGGGTCATTGTCTGACGCGTGTTCTGGCTCCACAGCTAAGTCATAATCGCACCATTTTGTAAAGCACTGTGCCCAGGTCAGCCTCTTATTGCCCCATAGTCTCACACATGATGCACAAATCATCCTTTGTTGCACAGACTCAGCTGAGGAGCAAAAAGACAGCGTCTGGCATCTGAAACCACAGCGTCATCAGCAAAGCCTCCCATTCTGGTTCTAGGATCTGTTAAGAGGCACTGAGTCAACGTCTGTGGAAGGACGGCAGAGCAAATTTTCAAGAAGACATCTTATTATCAGTTTTTACAAGCGCAATAGTTGGCTGAGACTTGTCAATAACAAGGTGCCTGGGGTGGGGAATGGGGAGCAAACAGCAGTAATGATAACGATTACATGTCTACTAAAGATAAAAAAACGATGACGCCGACAGATGCGGCACAAAGGTGGGCACTGCTAATTGA